CCGCTGCCTTCGCAGGAGACCTACAAGCTGCCGCACCGGCTGATCGAGAAGAAGAGGCGCGATCGCATCAACGAGTGCATCGCCCAGCTGAAGGACCTGCTGCCCGAGCACCTCAAGCTGACGGTAGGTGGGGGCGGCCCCGGGGACTCCCCCCTACTCCCCCTTTCCCAGCGCCTTGGGGTCTTTCCGCAGCTGGGTCTTTGCCTCCCGTTTTGGGGGGATTTGGGTTCCCTTTGTATCCCGCGCCCGTGGCAGGCTGTAAGCGCGTCCCAAACTTTCCCGGGAGTGGAGACCTCGGGTGGCTTCAGGACCTGCGGGGCTCCGGGGTTGCCCTGTGCTAAGGTCACGATAAATAAAATACTTTTTGAGCTGTGCTGCTGGTCCAAAAATCCCCGTAGGGTGCCGTGATAGCTCTTTCTGCAGCCTGCTTTTTGGCCGATCTTGGTGGGATATTGTCATTTAATAACCTCCGGGCACTGTGCGGGATCAAGGCTCTGCTGCCTTCAAGCCTCTTCACCCACCTGTGTCGGCCCTTCCGCTGTGATTCGGGACACATCGGCCGCCCCGTCGGGCTCCTGGGGGCGTGGCCGACCCCCCGGCCGCCGCCAACCTGCCCCTTTGCTTTCAGACTCTCGGTCACTTGGAGAAGGCGGTGGTTCTCGAGCTCACCTTGAAGCATGTGAAAGCGCTAACCAACCTCATCGAGCAGCAGCAGCAGAAAATAATTGCTTTGCAGAATGGTTTACAAGCGGGTGAGTATTCAAATGGTGTCGTGTGGGAACCTGCGTGCGCTTGACGGACTTTTCCCTTGGAGTCTTTGAAATGCAGTTGTGACACTTCGTTCCTGGGAAGGGAGGAGGCAGGAGTTCTTGCCTTTCATCGCCGTCGGTTTCCCTCGCTTTGCTTGATGAGCTTTTGCAAAAAAAAAAAAAAAAAAAAAGAAGAAAAAAAAAAGATGCATTTCTCAATAGGGTCAGCGTAGAGTGCCCCGTGGAGTTGTTCTGAAATTAAATGGGGGTTTAAGTAGTTTTGTTTAAAGCCCGGGTTTGCTCTGAGGTTTTCTCCGAAGCCACTCAGATCTTTCCCTTGGTGTTTATGAGCTTTGGAGCAAACCCAGTTTTGTTTGGGTTGGGTTTTTTTTTTTGTTTGTTTGTTTTTTTTCTGAAGATACACATAAATCTGCTTTTTATACACACCTTTTTAGGTCTTCTCACGAATGAGCTAGCCTGTGTTCTGCAGGCGAAGAGGGGACCTGGTGTGTCAGCTTATCAAAGCTGGAGATGCACTTCCTCCTTCTGTTTTCGCATGAGGCACTCACGTGAATCCGATAAAGTAAAACTGAGTTTTTCTCAAGAGCCTTCCACTGCTCCGGCAGCCACAGGGAGTGCAAGAGAGCTCTGAGCTGAGGCAGAGTCGCCCTGGGCTGGCAGCCGCGCTCTCTGCCTGGGGGTGAAGGGCGAGGTGCGCTCTGCCTTCCCCCCGGGGGCTTCCCAGGGAAGGCACCAGCTTGACTCACGCCTTTCCCTCCGCTCGGCACCTGTTGAAGGTGGCGTGTGCCGTAAATAGCGAACTGAAAAATTAAGGGATTAGGTGAAAGTGGACAGGCGGGTGTTCAAGCAGAAACGAGCGCTTACGCAGACATCGGCGGGGGGATGAGCGCCGAGTTCAGGCTGACCATCGAGGTCGCCTCTCCGGCCGCGCTGTGGCCGAAGCTTAGCGTCGCCTCCAGCCCGCCTGGAAGATGGCGATGGAACCGCTTACCACGCCGTTAATTTTTAATTTCTTTCTGTTAATGTTTCCTCAGGTGACCTGTCATCAAGAAACCTCGATTCCAGCCAGGAAATGTTTCGATCCGGTTTCCAGATGTGCGCCAAGGAAATGCTGCAATACCTGGCGAAGCACGAGAACGGCAAGGACCTGAAGTCGTCCCAGCTCGTCAGCCACCTGCACCGAATGGCCTCCGAGGTGCTGCAGGGCGGAGCCGGCCGCAAGGCCGCCGACATCCCTCCCAAAGCGGTGGACTTGAAAGAGAAACCCGTCTCCTTGACCAAAGCGGCGGAGGGCCACGGGAAAAACTGCGTGCCTGTGATCCAGAGGACATTCGCTCACTCCAGCGGGGAGCAGAGCGGCAGCGACACGGACACGGACAGCGGGTACGGGGGCGAGCTGGAGAAAAGTGACTCCAAATGCGAGCAGCAGTATTTCAAAAAGGATACCGAACTGAAGTACGCTGTCCAGGAGAGAATAAGCTCTATTAAGCAAGAGACTGAGGATCCGCCGGCCAAAAGGAGCAGGCTGGAGTCGCCGGAGGACGAGGGCCCTTTTGGCAGCGACATGATGGGCTCTTCCAGCAGCTTCCTGGGCCCCCACGCTCACCAGCCCCCCCTGTGCCTGCCTTTCTATTTGATCCCGCCATCCGCCACGGCCTACCTGCCCATGCTGGAGAAGTGCTGGTACCCGGCGTCCGTACCGGTCTTGTACCCCAGCCTGCCGGCCTCTGCCGCAGCACTCACGGGGTTCATGAACCCCGATAAGATCTCCCCGCCTCTGCTGATGCCCCAGAGACTCCCTTCTCCCGTACCGGCCCATTCCCCTATCGACTCCTCGGCTCTGCTTCAAGCTTTGAAGCAGATTCCTCCTTTGAACTTGGAAACCAAAGACTAAGCGCAGTGTGACTTTTTTCCTTGGGTTTTTTGGTTTTTTGTTTGTTTTTTGTTTTGGTTTTTGTTGGTTTTTTTTTTTTTTAGTTTGAGACTTTCACTTTTATATATTGGCTGGACTGAGGTGTGGGGATGAGGTTCACTGCGCGTAGGAAGCGAAATCCCCTTTTCTCTGACTTGTTTAGGTAGCTTGGAGAAGGATGAAGGATGCGCCCAGGTTAGCGATTCAGAACGACTTCCAAAAGAGGGGGGGAAAAAAAAAAAAAAATAAGCAGGGTTTTGTGCTTTACCCCTTCCCTTCTTCCCTCCCCGCATCTCCAGAGCAGCGGTTGGCTCGGTCAGCTGCGACTCTGCTGCAAAGCTGTGAAAAAGGACTCCGTGAGGCAGACTCGGGTTGAGGGTCTGCGAATCTGAACACCGTGGTACTTGGCGTAGAGGCTTTTCAGGCAACGGCCCCGCTGCCGGTAGTTGGAGCCGAACTGGTTCGGTGCCCCATCGGTCACCGGTGCCGGGCGCAGCGCGGCGGTGGTGGTGGTGGCAGTGCCACCGCAAGCGTAGGAGGAGCAGAGCAGCGGTCGCTGCTTGGTCGTGCACGGTCAGGTAGACTTGAAGACGGGTTTCTCTCCACACCTTTGCTGATATATACATATATATATATATATTTTTTAAGAAATAAAACGTAGATGCTGCTTGGAAGCTTTACATGGCGTACATCTAATAAATAAATTAACACGTGCCCCTTCCTGTAACTTGAGCTGCTAGTTTGGGCCGGGGAGGGGAGAAAATATCCCGAGGATCACTTTGCTTGTTGCACCTGACTCCAGGCCTCTCTCCCGCTGCCGCTGTGCAGCCTCGCCGGGTGTCGGCTGTTGGGAATGGAAATGGTTTTACCAGACCCGC